CACTCAATAAATGTCCAATTGAACCGAACCCACAAAAAATGCCCTCTAATTACTTGATAACTCGTGTCTTGTACATGGTTGAAGGCATAACTATGTCAATTAAAAACTGAGATATTAACATGTGGCCATTGATAAATTCAGTGAAAGAATTGCTTTATTTACTTTTTTTTTTACTAAGAAACATGAGAATGTCAAGTAGAAAATATGTTCATAAAAAGAACACAAGTGCCCAGGGGATGTGAAAAATGTATTTGACGCTTTTACAGGGTAACTACTTCCATGAAATAAGCAGAGTGCTCCAGGCACATCTATAAATTATCAGAAATCAAATTCGTTTTCATATTACTATATGTAGGAGTACCAAGTAGCATTTGTGTTTATGGCAAATACAAAGGAGTCTTCTGTGGAAGTGATCACTGCTGTCTCAGTATTTTAAAATTTAAGATTTCTGGTGCAGATGAGGAGATGAATCCAATTTTCATTCCAAACATTACAGCGTGTGGTTTCTGGTTTCTTTAAAGTGCTCTTAGGTTATTCAAATACAATTAAATAAACCATTTTCTTGCTGGAAATCAGCTGTTCTGAAAAACCCAGGGCTTCCTCCTGCCGCTTTCTGAGATTTCTAAGCCCTAGTCCTTGCCACGATGATCAGTCCTAGAGAAAATCAGCCTGGCCTGTGGACGTCTGTATCTGGCAGAGCCAGCAGCCAACGTGTGCTTCTGTGGGGGAGGGGGCTGCAACCCAGGCTCTCCTCACAAGCTTTGCAAGCCCAAGGGTGAAAAAAAGACTTCACAGTTTGACTTTTAAATAAAATACCAGGTTGAGGTCATTGATAAGACCTACAATGTGTTTTAGACTTTACACTAGATTAACCCTTAGGGAGTAGGGAAGCAGGGAAGACAGGGAGAGGGGTGATTCCAGATTCTTTTTTACTAATAACCGACTTCCTTAGTCATCAGACTCTTTAAGTAGACTATCTCAATCTCGATTTGCTTTCTAGATCTCTAACCTCAGACTACTCCTAACCCACCCTGAATGACTGAATTTCAAATTAAAAGATGATCGGCATGAACAGACAGCGCGCGCCGCCTGCATTCAATTGCTAACGTGGACCTTACCTACCAAAATGGCTAGCATTTAGTCTGCTACTCCTCTGCTTAGGAAGCGAATTACATTGGCAGAAAAGTGCATCGAGAAATTGAACCCAGCGGAATATAGGAGGTTACGCTTACCTTTTCTGATAATTGGAACGGGTGGAAGACACCCCAGGCAATGTCAAGGTGAATTCCCCAGCAGGTACCACAGCACAGCGAGCAGCCCGGCAGGCTAAACCCTGACAGTATGCATGTGCTCTGAGGCTGCAAGTTACTATCAGGCAACTTAAGAAAAGAGGCGGAGCCTGGGCTGGGGAAAGGGGAGTGGGGAAATGAAAACAGCGCCGGGAGGAGGGGGAGCCCGAGGTCTCTGGAATATTGATTAATCTTGGCACACCAGAAGCATGTTTGCTGGCTTTGTTTTGCCCCTAAGTCCACTTTCACGCTTTGTCAGGTCACTTTCATTAGAAACGCAAAATCAGGACCAGGAAGAATGGAAATATAAAGCGCGCACACTCGGGACGCTGGAAGTCCTGATTTAGAACGTTTCAAAGACTCCTCTAAGGCTATATTTAATTACTTCATTTTATTGCAGGTTTCCTCTTCTTAAGGGAACATAAGACGGTGTTCTTTTGCCTGCTCATACAACCGTGGTGAAAACCCCCCATTCAACAGTGGAAATAGAATTGACATTTCTTGGGAAGGTCCTGCATACAGTCAAGAGAGGAGGGTGCTTACTGCCAGTCTCTAAACTCGTCTAAGGTTACTCAAAACACAAGGTGAGGCTTGCCTCTGTTTTAGCAGCTTAATCTCCATTATAACAAATCTAATTGAGCTCTGGCTGCCTGCATTGCAAAGACAGAAACGGTAAGAAATGCAAAAGCACTAAGTTGTCCGTCAAACTATAAAGCACAAGGCATTTTAAGACACCTGGAGACTCACGATTTCAAAAGATAAGTTGCTATAAGATGCAGAATGTCCCCCTCCCCCATTTTTAGGAGTTAGAATATAACTTGTACTTCAAGTCTATTTTTCTTAAAAGGAAGATGAACAGCAGGAACAGATACCCCAAAATTGAAAATGAATTTTTCAGTGTGACTTATGCCCCCCAACTAAAAAATTTGTTTGGCTGGAAGAAAATGGCTCATTAGAAACCAAAACACGTCGACCCCAAATCACAGCCAGAGTTCTGTGTTCTTGCTCATTAAGTCCCCATGCAAAGTCTGCTCAGTTTTTTGTGTCTGTTATCCAACATGTTAAAGTGTGTGTTTTTGTTTCTCATTAGTGAATCAGGGAGCCATAAAGAAGAAATGTTCCCCGCAAGCCTTAATCGTTCATGTACGTGCTTTTAGGACAGCTACTGGCTGGAAAACAGTGGCAAGTTGTCTAAGTACCTTAAAATGATAAATTAACAGCAATTATAACAACTTCTTCCTTGACACCACTTTAATAATTTATTGAAAGTCATTCTCTTGTCAGTCTCAACCATGGGTGATCATTCCTTTCCTCTGATCTCTCAGATCACTTAGCATCTGTACCATGTTGCTTAACACTTAATTATACCCTGCCTTGGACTGTGTCCTTTTTAAGATCATGTCAGGTTTGGGCCTCTCAGCTAAACGATAAGTTCTTTGAGGGCAAGAACCTGTCTTGTGCCTGATAGGAAGCAAACATTAAGCAATTCTGATGAATGGCTGGCATAATGGAAGAGCATGAAACAATCTTTCCAACCTTCTGTGGTAAAAACAAACCTGCTTGCTAATGTGCGTGCCTGAGATGCACAGCAGACTCATTCTCAACACTGGTGAACAGCATCCTCAGCCCATAGCAGCTCCCACCTGAGACCTGCATGCAAAGCCATTGTATTCACTTGCATGATTTGTATTTGAAGGAACATGAGAGAGAACTGTGGTCCTTTTAAGTGGGGTTTCAAACCAATAGCATTTCTGTTCTCTATATTTTTCCCCCCATAAGTAAGAAAAAGACCTGGAAAACCGCATGTTGGTTAGCATAGAGATGAGGACCTGGTTTCCCCCCTTTTCCCCTTTTCTTTCCTAATCCCTAAAGCTTGGTTAAAGCATTGTGTTATTTCAGTTTGTACAGACAGCAGAGGAGTCTGGTGCTCACAGGGAAGGGAAGTAAGTCAGCCCTGAAGGTTTTGTTGGCTGCAATAAACACTAATGAGAAAATGAGATGCAACGAGTCTCCGTTCAGAGTTCACATGAACTGTAGGGTTTTGGTTCAGGGCAGTTATTGGGAATTACTTCTTTCGGACACTACTTTTTGGAATACTATAGTAATAATGTTCCAGGAGTAACCTGGATCTACTCTGGGTGCTTTTACCACTGTCCCCTCCACTTTATAAGCAGACCTTTTAACTTTAAAATAATTTCCCCTGGGACTGGAGAAATGGCTCGGAGGTCAAGAACACTGATTGAACCCAGGTTTGAATCCCAGCATCCATATGGCAGATAACAACCATTCATCACCCCAGGACCAGAGGATTCTGATGCCCTCTCCTGTCCTCCAAGGGCAGTGCACCACATGAGTGCACTTAGATACATGTAGGCATAATACATAACACATAAAATTAAAATGAGTAAGAATAAATTTTAAAAATTTCCCCTTCAGCCAGGTGTGGTGGCACATACCTTTTGTCTCAGCACTTGGGAGGCAGAGGCAGGTGGATCTCTGTGAGTTCGAGACCAGCCTGGTCTACATAGTGAGTTCCAGGCCAGCTGCTGGAGCTACAGGGAGACTTTGTCTCAAAAACACCAAAAAAAAGGAGGCTTGCTAGGGCTACAGGGAGACCCTGTCTCAAAAAGACCCAAAAAATGTGCTATAATTTAGGGTAACATATGTATTATCAATTTTCACAGATGTTTGTAATACAAAATATAAAAAATAATGTACTTATATTTGAGGAGGAAGCATACAAATTTATTTCATGTTAATTAGTAGAGGTAATAAACATTTCCATTGAAATCTACCTGATGACTTCATATCCATACTCAGGTGCCAAGGTTCTGAGTGTAACTGACTGTGACTAGTAATAATCAGATACATAGAGATTAGAGACACATGTGCAAAAGTCTAAGTGTTAGTAGCTTTAAAAATGAGTCTTTTAGCACATAAAACTAGAACTGCACATGCCTTTAGTCTCAGCACTTGGGAGGCAAAGACAGGCAGATCTCTGTGAGTTCAAGGTCAGCCTGGTCTACATCGTGAGTTCTGGGACAGCTGGGACTACAGAAAAAAAAAAAAAAAAAAAAAAAAAAAAAAAAAAAAAGAAAGAAAGAAATTATGAACAAATCTCTGTATATTGTATTACATTTAAAGCTATTCCAGATGGTGGACACAGAACCCAGGAAAGATTAATGTTGAGATTCCAGAATAAACACACACACACACACACATACACACACAAACACACATACATACACACACACATACATACACACACACATACACACACACACAAATACTGTTGTTCTTTTTGAAAAGAAATTGTCAAGTTTTTCCTTTGACCATGCATCAAAGACCTATGTTATAAATTCTTCTGGGAAAAAATATTAGCACAACAAAAAAGCAGCCCATCTTTAAATGAATCATCCCATTCATTGGCGTGCACTACAAATGACGTGATAATAAGCACTGATCTTCATGCAGGACAGTCAGACTGCAGCACTCAAAATCTAGCGTCAGTGAAGTGGACTTTTTGAGTGAGAAATTGATTAAGCCAGGTGTGGTGGCCTTTAATCCTAACACGCAGGAGGCAGAGGCAGGTGGATCTCTATGAAATTGAGGACAGCTTGGTCTGCATAGCAAGTTCTAGGCCAGCTGGGCTACAGGCAGACCCTATCTCAAGAAAGAAAAACCAAGGGGCTGGAGAGATGGCTCAGCAGTTAAGAACACTGACTGTTCTTGCAGAAGACCTGGGTTTGAATCCCAGAACCCACATGGCAGCCAACAACTGTCTGTAACTCCAGTTTCAGGGGATCTAACAGTCTCTTCTGTCCTCTGTGGGCATTGCACAACATGGGCGCACTTACTTACCTGCAGACATAACACTCATATACATAAAAATAATTTTTTTAAAAAAACCAAAACAACAGCCAAAAAGGAAATTAAGAAAACTTAACCTATATGGAATGTTTCACTTTAAGTTTTGCTTTCAGGAGGAACTTTGGTCATTCCTTCTTCAGACGGTTTAGGATGTCAGACGTGCCAGTTCTCCTTATGACTTGGAAATCATGGACCACAAAGACAAGAGACAGACCTGACTTGCTCCCAGTGTGCAGCAGTGGACCAGCCCAAAAGAGCTGGAGAAGCGGTATTTGTGGTGGACAGTCATTCATTTCATTTTTTCCTTCTTAACTATGATTATAACATTCCCCCATCCCCCCACCCCCGCCATACACACCAATTACATCTATGGTGAACTCTGGTTAGCTGAGTTTTTTTAACTAGCTGGATTATATATATTTTTTTAAACTTTAAAAATTTTTAAATTTTATTTTTAATTTTATGTGTATGTGTGTATTGCCTGCATGTAGGTAAGTGCACCCTTGTCGTTCAATGCCTGCGGAGGTCAGAAGAGGCTGTCTGATACCCTGGGACTGGAGTCACCCTGATACTGGAGTTAGCTGCCATGTGGGTGCTGGGATTCAAACCCAGGTCTTCTGCAAGAACAGCCAGTGCTCTTAACCACTGAGCCATCTCTCCAGCCCTGCAGCTAGATTATATTTTAAGGTCACATGAAGACTGAAAAAAATTGTAACCAGTCTAACTGTAAAGATTAATCAGCTGGGCTGGAGAGATGGCTCAGTGGGCAAGAACACTGGCCATTCTTGCAGAATACCCAGATTCGAATCCCAGCACCCACATGGCAGCTAACAACTGTCCATAACTCCAGTTCCAGGGGATCCAACGGCCTCTTCTGTCCTCCACAGGCACTGCATGACATGGGTGCTCTTACATACATGCAGGCAATACACTCATACACATAAAATAAAAAATAAATAATAAAATATATTTTTTAAAAAGATTAATCAGCTATAATTTATCTTTATTGTAGTCATTCACTCATGTATTTATTCAACAAACATGGAGCGGTCACTGGGCTTCAAATGCCAGTTCTTTTCATAAGTACTATGCAGCAGACAAGACAGAGTTATGGAAATTCTGTGGTGAGTCCTACTAACCAATTAGTTTGATATAAGCTTGAGAATAGGATGAGAGAGGAATTGTGTGGGCTCCCCCGTTTGTGCAGTCTACCATGGAGCCCACACTTAGAGCAGAGTGCAGCACCATGGGGATGATGGGGGCTCATACTGGAGGAGGAATGGAGGCCCCAAAGCACCACATTTAAGACCTTGAACTCATCCAGGCATGGGTCTGGTACCTGCAGTCTTGGTACTAGGGACGCTAAGGCGGGATGATTGCCAGGAGTTTAAGTCCAGACTAGATACATAGTGAATTCCAGGTTGACCTAGGCCATAGAGTAATGTACCAGTTAACGCTACCCTCTCAAAAGAAGACCTTGAACTTTACTCTTAAAGCAGTGGGAACCACAGGATTTAAGCACAGAAGTAATTTTAATT